TTTTTTTTTTTTATATATATATGAATATGTCCACGCTCAAACCTACTGAGTGGGTAGCAATAAAATGTAAAATAATATTTTGAACTTCATTAATAGTTGTAATTTTTTGATTATATAGATCAATGATGAGTATTCATTTTTCAATACCATATCGAAAATATCAAAGTCGGTACCATAAAAAGACCCAAACCAGAAACGAATGGAGCCACAATTTTGACTGATGACAAGACGCATAGAGTGGCATTTAAGACTTAAGACCATTAGAAAAGAAAAGTCCCCCACTTAGAGGTAGAGGTAGAGCTAGTCCATCGTACGTATGGAACTATTCATGAATCGAATCTCTTCCACTTCCGTACCCTTTGTTTTTGAAAAGTAAAGAGAAGTCTTATCGGGAAAGAAAAATGCAGACGAATACCTCTGTGCCTTAACAAGAGAGAAAAGTGAATGGCTAGAATTGATGATTACAACGAATGACCGACCTCTCTACTAAGATCAAAACCCAAACCACTTAGTTGATTTTCACAGGCTATGGGACGAAGACGAAGAAGATCGGGAAGGGTTCAATTGGAATCCAAAGTTCTTGTAGATGAAAAAGCAGAGAAATGGATAAAGCACTATAGCAGTTCTCACAATATTTTGCTAGTCGGTGAGGGAGACTTCTCCTTTGCCGCAAGCTTAGCAGAAGCATTTGGATCTGCGTCAAATATGGTTGCCACCTCTCTTGACTCTAAAGGTATGGATACATGCACCATAGTTTCTTGGAGCATTCTTTGACAGTACTCAAAATTTTTTTCGCTCATTTGAACAAAAGTACTCTGGATAATATTTTTTATCATCGTTATGAATATGTTTTATCGTCGAGAATCATTCGATTACTTTGTGGGTACGTGTTGTCTAACTGAAAAACTTTTTGTCATGAATGCCAAACCAAAGTGACATTGGTGACAAAACATCCTACTGCAGTGGCGAACCTGAAGAAACTGGAGGATTATGGGTGCACCATTGTGCATGAAGTGGATGCCAACACCATGAGCCAACATCCTCTTCTCAAAGTGAAAGCATTTGACAGAATTGTATTTAATTTTCCTCATGCTGGTTTAAATTACTTCATGTGTGAACACAGCATGGTCCAAATTGAGTAAGTCTGAACCCATGATCATTTTTCTTTCCCAAGTACAATACTTCACTAAATCATAAGAATGGCCTTGGATAATAAGTCAATTTTTTTTTTTATTTATTTTCAGGCTTCATCAGAATGTTGTTAAGGGATTCTTGATGAATGCACGTGACATGTTAACAGAGAATGGTCAAGTGCACGTGACTCATAAGACATCGTACCCGTTTACTTTGTGGGAAATAGCAAAACTAGCAGAGGAGGGTGGGTTGCAGTTGGTGGAAGAAGTGCCTTTCACCAAATGGGATTATCCAGGGTACCATAATAAAAGAGCATATGGGTATAAAAGCAACAGGGCATTCCCCGTCGGAGAATGCAGTACTTTCAAATTTGCCAAAGCCATAATGTCCACCAATCTTTCTATGGCTTAGTTATTCTAATCAATATCGCTTAAGTGATCATTATTTATTTATTTTTTAGGTTCAATGATCAAAATATCCAGATCAACTTATGTGCACTTTGACTAATTCTTTCATCAATTCGGTCAAAAACAGGTCATTCATGTCAGATCTAGAATATTCATGAAGAATAAATTTTTTATGATTTAAGTTCAATGATTGTCAAAATTCGAATTCATGACGTATAGATTTATAATTCATCTTTATTACCATTTGAACTACTTTGAATTAGTATTTATCATTTACGAAGCTACGGATCCTTTATTAGAGTTTTGTTGGTGATCCACAATTACTCTGTTAGTGATTATGACTCGCCAAAACTATAGAACTTTCGGTGCAGTGACATTACAATACGGAAAAAAAAGAGAGTCTAAAGTGGTGGGAGGGGGAAGTAAAAAGGGGAGGTTTCTTTTGATTTTTTTTTACATAATTAACTGTTTTTGTTTGATTAATGTTCAGTTTTAATTGTTTATTAGAGTCACGTAAATTCAATGAATTAGAAAAATAAATTAGATACGATGATTAGCTTCGATTATGATTACTATTGATGTAATTTTACGTCCTATACGATGGGTTAGAAGGATAATGAAGTGAGACTAGGTAGACCAAAGTTGATGGTTAGGCAATCACTACCAAAAATAAATAATTAAAACTTAGCTTTACCTTTTGAATAAATTAAAAACTAATTAAAGTTGACTTTTAAAGTTGATTTTGAATTGGCATGAATAATATTATAGGACTTAATTCATTATAATCATTAGATAAATGGTTAGTTTTAAGTTTGGATCGATGATATCCATTGTAAATCCAACATGTTTAAACAATTAATTAGATCCTTAAATTAAATTAAAATTACATTTTTTAAACAATATTAGAAACTAACTTAACATATATACATGTCCTGTGTTGCACTACAACAAAAAAAACTTTTTTCTCAAAAAATTAAAAAAAGTCCCAAAATTTTAGCGACGAAAAAAATCATCACAAAAATCATTTTTTGTTGTAATGTTGTTAAATCTAATTTTGATTTTCTTTTGGAAGAAAATGTGCCTTCTAATGTGAGTCAAAGCCGTTGTTCACTCCTAGTTTAAATAACTAGTTAACAACGTAAGCAGATGATTTCATATCAAATGCAATGCTTGCTTCTGGAATTTGAGTAGTGACTTCCCTTCAACACATTACGCTGAACTATAATGGAATAATCGAATAACGGTTTAATATGACTTGCTCTTTTTTTTTTTTTTTTTGTACTGGATGACTTGGTCTTCAAACCGTGGTTTTTAGTGGTTAACTTAATGACTACATTTAATACCCACTTCAAAACCTAAATAATTAATCTAGCCCATATTAAAAGTATACACAAAATGACAGATCTTTTCTCATCCTTACGATGCTAGTATATAGACTTAAATTAATCTAATATGATGTAAGAGACTCTCATTCAAATAATCGGTCAAAAATAATAATATTCATTGGACAAGAGGCATTTTGGATAAAAAAAAAATAATGATGAGTCATGACCTCATTGGTCTCTCAGGCTAGAAGTCTAAGAGGCTTTTCTCAACCAACAAATTGACATGGGCAATTTATCTGAAAATTCCTAAGAACCAGAAGGGTAATTATTGAGAGTAGTAATGTTATTTGGATCTAAAAATTTGATGAAAATCACTATCAATCAAAATGTCATAATTAATTAGACTAATAAATTAAATTACAATAGCAGTGAATTTGAAGAGACATGAGTCACCACTATGGTTTACATTCCCAGTGCAATTCTCATAAATACATGCACCAAAATCAAATTACAAATCCCAAAACAGCATGCTTAGCNACTATGGTTTACATTCCCAGTGCAATTCTCATAAATACATGCACCAAAATCAAATTACAAATCCCAAAACAGCATGCTTAGCATAGAAATGGATAAAACACTATAACAGTTCTCATAAGATTTGCTTGTTGGTGAGGGAGATTTCTTCTTTTCAGCATGCTTAGCAGAAGCATTTNTGATGTGACAACCTCTTATTGGAATAATCATCGATAAAAAATAATAATATACATTAAACAAGACACATTTCGTATAAAAAATAATAATGAGTCATGACCTCATTGGTCTCTCAGACTGGAAATCTAAGAGGCTTCTCTCAACCAACAGATTGACATGGACAATTTTTCTAAAAATTCCTAAGAACCAGAAAGCGTAATTATTGAGAGTAGTAATGTTATTTAGATCTAAAATTTTAATTTAATTTATTAATCTAATGATGTGATTGCACTATAACTTTTGAATTGACAATAAACTTTAATGTTTGATAGGAACCACAGTCAATCAAAAAGTCATAATAATTAGGCTAATAAATTAGATTACAATAGCATTGAAATAAGATCAGTGAATTTGAGAAGGCATGAGTCACCACTGTGGTTTACATTCCCAGTGCAATTCTTATAAATACAAGTATCAAAATCAAATTATAAATCCCAGAATCAACATTATAGCAAGAGTACCCAATAGTATCTAGGTTTTTACTTGCCAATTTAGACCATTACAGAATGGCGTCCAAAGTTTTTCTGGAAGATAAAGCAGAGAAATGGATAAAACACTACAACAGTTCTCACAAGATTTTGCTTGTCGGTGAGGGAGATTTATCCTTTTCAACATGCTTAGCAAAATGATTTGGATCTACCTCAAATATGGTTGCCACCTCTCTTGACTCTAAAGGTATGTCATAGTTTCTTCTCTTTGGAGCATTCCATACCATGACAGTATGATAATACTCACTGCAAGAATTTTTTTGAATAGCCGACGTTTATAAACACCGGCAAAGTCCATACAAATGTCAGCGATGAACATTTACAGTGTTTGTTGCAAACGGCGTCTATATTGCCGTCAGGAAAGATGCCGGCATTTTTCTAAACGCCGAAAAATGTAATTCGGCCTTTGTCTCGGCAAAAAACCAAATTATCTAGATAACGATAGATCTCTTCTGATCGAAACATCGTATCTCTAATACTTTTTTGCATGCAAACCAAAGAGGCATTAGGGGAAAAGCATCCTACTGCGGTGACCAACCTAAAGAAACTGGAGGACTATGGGTGCAACATTGTGCA